CAGAGGATAAATCTCAGTAATAGCGTATGGATCTACAGGCTGACGGGCTGAGCATATAAACCTCCAGTGTAAAGACTCACTTAAGAGCTTTCTGCCACAAATGGAGCTCGGAGAGAGAGAAGAGAAGGAGAAGAGAGGGGAGGGGAGCGGAGGGGAGGAGAGGAGAGGATGGGAAGGGAGGGGAGAAGAGAGGAGAAAGAAAAAAGCAGTTATATTAAGCACATTTTGCTGATCACATTCTTCATTTGGATCAGGGTTCTTAGAAACTTGGATTTTTGCCAGCTCAGACTTCCCTGCATGGTGGAGGCCAGGCCCATCTAGATTCGTCCTGCTCCTTTAGGCCTTCGGTTTCTAGGCAGGAGTGATTTTGGTTGGGGCATATCCATGCACCAGTGGCCTGGCCTCAAAGCCCTCCCTGCCCATTGTTGTCAAAGGTCCATCTGGTGATGCCAGCCCCTTTCCAGCCCCGAGGAGACCAGCACGGGGCTGGTCAACCAAGCAGCCAGTATGTACAGGGCCTGCCTTCCCGCACAGGGCATCCTTCCTGAATGCTCTGACACCCCAGTGTTCAAACTGACTCTCACTCAGGGCCTGACCAGGACCTTGCTCTGGTCCCCATCTGGTCTGGCCCTAGCCACAGGCATCTCCCATTCTCAGGCCTTGGGCATAAGGTGTTTAGTCATGAGAGGGAACAAGATATAGCACAAGCACGTCAGAGTCCCAGAGCTGGGCCCTGCTCTGTCAGCTGTCCACTTGCCTTCCAAGGTAAAGCACCAGGCACTCCAGGACTGTCTGATCAAGCACTCCATCATCATCCGTGGGGAGTTTGTCAGCAGGCCTCTGAACATCGCCCAGGCTACAGACCGGAGGGATGCCTTCGTCAAGGTGCAGTACTGGAGAAGGGGCCCAAGCATCTACTCACTGAACATGGCTCCTTGCCTGTTGGTGGAGAGCGGGAAAAAGCAGAGACAGCCGGGCAAGGCCGGACTCTGCCAGTCACCTGCCTAGTGATTGTGGGCTTTCTAGCCACTCTGGGTTTGGCTTCTTGCCTTTCAAGTAGGAATGATACGCTACAGTGGGTTTGTGAGATCCAGTGTGAGTCTGGCATTTCTGGGTGAACCTGGAGAAAGGGGAAGCCTTCCTCTTGTGCTTCAAACCCGAGGCTTTACCTCATGTCTCCTCAGGGCATCTATGGGCACCTCTTCCTATGGATTGTCAAGAAGATCAATGCTGCGATTTTCACTCCACCTGCCCAGGACCCTAAAAATGTGCGAAGGGCCATTGGCCTCCTTGACATATTTGGCTTTGAAAATTTCCAGAACAATAGGTATGAAGATATCAGTTCACCTGCTTTCAGAAAATGGAAGATAAGCTTAAATCCTCTCTAACTGAGCAAGCTAAAAAGTAGCCATTCTTCCCCCACGGGACAGGGAGCAGGGGCCTCTCGCTTCTTCTCACAGATGCCAGGGCAAGTCCACTCGGCAGGCCTGAGTCTTTCTGCAGGAGGATGATCTGTGCGTGTCTCTCGGCACCTACAATATGCCTGGAGAAGGTCACATAGCTAAAAGCATCTGAAGAGCCAGGCTGTAGCCCAGCATTTGTCACCCTTCTTGAGCCATCTGCTCTCCTCATGAATCTGAGTAAATTATTATGTGAGGTTAGAGTGAAAATGGAAATCAGTAACATCGATCCAGCTGCATCTTTAGGTGGTATATCATACTGGGTATTAGAGGGAAGGTGGCGGGTTTGTGGATTATCCCAGACTTTTGAGTTTGGTGGGAGTAAGGCATAGCAGGACACCTCTGACCCGGTGTCCCAGCACCCTTGACTATAGGCTGAAGAGCTGAAGTGACACCCGGCCATAACTGTAATGGGGTGAGAGGAGACAAGGATGGTGAAGGGAGCCAGGCAGTGGAGCCAGATAAGGACAATTGATGCTCTGGTGCATTATCCAATGGCAGAAGGAGGACATATGAGGAAAATGAGGACTGGGATGAGTAAGCAGAAAGCATCTTAGGTGCAATCTGGTTTACCCAGGTGAGCCTGGCTCATTAAAGGGCTTGACAGGACCAAACCTAACTCTGGTTCCAAGAAGTAGAGCCCTCTGGGCACTGTTGTGGAGCCAAGACCTATACATGCCCCTGCCCAAGACCTTATCTCCACATGAAGTTTGAGAGTGACCCTTGGAGAGCCAGGATTGTCAAGATACAAGCCATCCCCAATGCAAGCACACTGGGATCGTGGGCTCCCAGGACCAGCTGGGTAAGCAGGGCAGATAGCATGGGGCAGGCTGGCAGAACTAGGGTCAGTACGATGGGAACTCTAAGGCACAGTAAACTCAAATGTGATCCAGACCATTGGTTTCTGTCCCCGAGAAGGACAGTTGAGCAGACCAAGCACACTTTGGAAAGCTTGGAAGAGCACAAATAGTTGTTTGTGGGGAATCTAGACATTTATGCGAGGACCCCTCCCTGAAAGAGGCACGAGCTGGGTTTGTGACGGGGCTGAACTCTGGGGACCTGGTGAAAGACAAGTGCTGCATCACCTAGCACCCAGTCACCCACTCAGTCATGCCTTCTGCAAGGGCCCGCTGAGCTCTCTCCAGGCAGTGCGTTGGGAGGTGAGAACATAGTTGACCTGTGCCCTCTCCTCTTGTGTTAACAGACATTGAACAACCGGTCTCAGGTATGATGAGGTTCTGCATAAATGGGCAGCCCACTCTGAGGCAGAAATGTGTAATTGAGATCCAGGGCATAGCAGAGCAAGCCAGGTCATGAGGAAAGAGAGGAGCAGCAGCAAATGTGTGAAGACTCAGAGACTGGAAAGAACTGGGCGCTTTCATAGCATGTTGTGGGAAGTCCAGAGTGGCCTGGAGTCACTTCCTGGGATAGAGGCAGACTTTCTACTGTGTCACTGTCTGTCTGGATCCTGAAAATAGTGGGAATCCCAGAAGGATTGAAGCAGCCAGGAGAACGTGCTGGGATCTGCATGTCAGAAAGCTCCCTCTAGTGGTGGGTGGAAAAGGACTGAGGGACGAGAGAGAGGCTTTTGGAGGCCAGCACCATGCTCCAGGTGAGCAATGGAGGTGACCTATACAAGGGTTGTAGCAATGGGAGTGAAAAGAAGAGGTCAAGGTGCTGTGTTGGAGAGAGCATGGACCGGACATTGGCAACTGATTGAAAGTGGGGAGGAGGGAGAGAGGTTAAGCATGACTCTTTGGTTTCTGACTTGAGCCAGGGGTAACTTGTGGTGGGATCATCTCCCAAGATGGGGAACTCAGGAGGAAGAGCAGGTTGGAGGATTAGGGCGGGGTTAAGGAGTGTATCTGTTTGATGTAGAGGAGCCCGGCAGCCAATACTGGATCTCCAGAAGCTCCTTCCAATGCCAAGGCCACTTGCCTGTGGGGCTGGGCTGCTGAAGGACACCTGATCCACTAAGGATTATCTTTGTGTTGTGATAGGCAGGCCCAGCAGAGGACCCTGTAGGAGACTGGTAAGGAGCCAAAGGCAGATTTTGATGGTATGATGAGCTTTTTCCTTTCTCTTAGTCTGTTTGCCGTGGGGCAGAGGAGGTGAGGTAATGGTGGTAGAGGCAGAGAGAAGAGGGAGGGTTTACATCAGCATGCACACAGGGGTTCCATGTGAATGAGGATGTGCATCCATGGGCATATATGTGTGTGGCTGTCTGCAAATGGCTGGGGACCTCGTGGTTCCTGCCAGCTGCAGAAGGGACTGAGCTGACCCTGTTCCACCCCTGGTGGCGGTGTTGCCCCCACAGCTTTGAGCAGCTCTGCATCAACTTCGCCAATGAGCACTTGCAGCAGTTCTTTGTGCAGCATGTGTTCACAATGGAGCAAGAGGAGTACCACTCTGAGAGCATCGCCTGGGATTTCATTCACTACACAGACAATCGGCCTATACTGGATCTGCTAGCCCTCAAGCCCATGAGCATCATCTCCCTCCTGGATGAAGAGAGCCGCTTCCCACAGGTGCATCCCTGGGCCCAGTGACCTTCAGGTGGAGACCCCACACATAGGTGTCTTCCTCAAGGTTGAAAAACTCCCCGGGGGTGGCCTACTTATTCTGGGGTTGCTGAAACCTCTGCTAGAAATAAACAGACCAGCCTCAGCTCATCTCCCACCAGAGCTCCTCTCCCTCAAGGCCTTCCTCAGGCCCACTACCTGCAGGAAGTCTTCCTGAGTCTACCCTCACTCCTGCTCTCCAGCAGAATGATATCTGTCTTTAATTACTTAGATTCAAGAACACAACCCAAGAGGGGACTTACTAATCACCCATGGGCTAAAGGCTGCAGAGGGTGCAAGAGTAGGAAATGCTTTTATTCTCATCCACAGGGGATTCTGCCTGTCCTTGGGGAGATAGACTCTCAAATGCAGTCAGTAGGAGCTCTGAATCCAGACAAGGGGGAAGCCAAGGCTGGATGAAGTACCTGGACAATCGTAGAGCGGGGTGGAGACACAGAACTGGTGGTGAAGGTCTGCTCCAACCTGGCCTTCATTTACTGTGACAAGTTACCAACACTTGAATGTCAGTTTCCTGTCTGTAGAAAGGCTCTCGGTCATTCTGAGCCCAGTTGCTTTAGGTCCATGAGGGAGTCCCTAAGCCCTGTGAGTGTGCCAGCTGACCTCACTGTGGCTGGGCTCTGGAACCTCAATCTATAGGGTGTCTTTGTTCTTCCAGGGGACAGATATCACGATGGTGCAAAAACTGAACAGTGTCCATGCCAACAACAAGGCCTTCCTGCAGCCCAAAAACATCCACGATGCCAGATTTGGCATTGCCCACTTTGCTGGTGAGGTGTACTACCAGGCAGAAGGTAGGTGTAGCTCCTCCCACACCCTCTTCCTACAAATCTGGATCAGGTTCCAGGGAGGCCACAGAAAGGAGGCTGAGAAGGTTAGGTCATTTTGCAGGGCTAGCAATGGGACAGAGGGAATGGAATGAACCAGGCATGTTTTGTTTTGTTTTGTTTTGCTTTTTGGTAACAGCTCTTTTGAGATATAATTTACATATCATTTACATATCATGTAATTTACCCATTTAAAGTATAAAACTCAATGATTTTTAGTATATTCACAGAGCTGTGTAACTGTTGCCACAATTTAGAACATTTTCACTCAGAAAAGGGTGACTCCCATTAGCAGTCATTCCTCATTTCCCCACAACCCTCCCCAGCACCTGGCAACCACTCACTTCTGTTTGTATGGATTTGCCTGTTCTGGACATTTCATCTGAATATGTGGTATATGTGACAAACTTCTTTCACTTAGCATCAGGTTTTCAAGGTTCGTTCATGTTGTAGCATGTGTCAGGACTTCATTTCTTTATACTGCAGCATAATATTGCACTATGTGAATATACTACGTTTTGTTTATCCCTTCATCAGTTGATAGACATTTGGGTTGTTTCCACTTTTAAGGTATTATGAATAATGCTGCTATATGAATAATGCTGAATAAAACTTATACACTCATGTACAAGTTTTTATGTGGATGTATGTTTTCGCTTCTTTAGAGTATACCCCTAGGAGAAGAATTTCTGGTTCATATGGTAATTCTATGTTTAACTTTTTTAATAACCACCAAACTGTTTCCCTAAGTGGCTGCACCATTTTACATTCCCACTACCAATGTATAAAGGTTCCAATTTCTCTACATCCACACTAATGCATGTTATTGTCTGTCTTTTTGATTATAGCCATCCTAGTAGGTTTAAAGTGGTATCTCAATGTGATTTGTGTTTCCCTGATGCCTAAAGATGGTGAACAACTTTTTGTGTGTTTATTGGCCATTGTATATCCTCTTTGGAGAAATTTCCTTTCAGATCCTCTGCCCATGTTATAATTGGGTTGTCTTTTTATTGTTGAGTTGTAAGAGGGCTTTACGCATTTTAAATATAAGTACCTTGTCAGATATATAATTTGTAAGTATGTTTTTCTGTGGGTTATCTTTTCACTTTCTTGAGTGTCCCTTGAAACACAAAAGTTTTAATTTTGATGAAGTCCAACTTACCTATTTTTCTTTTGTTGCTCATGCTTTTGGTGTCATAACAAAAAACATTATCCAACTCAAGATTTACCCCTAAGTTTTCTTCTAAGAGTTTTATAGTTTTAACTTTTACATTTATGTCTTTGGTCCATTTTGAATTAATTTTTATACAAGTTGAAGTAGAGTCAGGCATGATTTTGATTGGAGAAACAAGGGCATGAGGTGATCAACCTATTGGTGTACTTAAAAAAGTGAGAAAGGTGGCCATTGTTAGGCTGTGGTCAGGAAAATGGGCAGGCAGCTATAGTGTCACTTTTCGTGGCTCGTATGGAAAAATGAGAATGTGCTCTAGTCTGTTTAACTAAAACTTTAAAGTCGCACTGTTCAACTGGAGAGACAAAGCAGCACGTACTGGCTCTCATTATTCCCAGCTCTGTGAGGGTTGTGTGGCACCCCTAGAGCTCCTGGTGCAACCTTCTTACTCTCACAGGCATCTGAGGCAGAGGTAGGGGAAACAGGCTCCCTGCTCTTCTCCCACCCTTGACTCAGTCTCCCCAGGCCTCTCACCAGGCTGGGCAGGTATTCACAGAGCATTGCACTAAAAGTGGGGTGATTAAAGGGAAGCAGAGTGGCAGAGGAAAGTTAGGGCTGTGCTTGTGTAAGGTCAATCCTAGGAGTCCCAGGAGTGTAGCCCTTCAGCTGGTGCCTGACCCTCATCTAGCCCAGCTTCAGTGCCTTCATAGTGTGATTCTGTGCCTAACTTTAGGGCGAGTCCATTCTTGCCCATGATGAGAGTGGAGGAGTGATGTCTTGCACTCCCTAGATCCATGCCTGTGTTAATTGCCCAGGGCTGCCATGGCAAAGTTCCACGACAGGTACAGAAATTTACTACTCATAGTCTGAAGGCTGGAAGTATAAGGCCAAGATGTCAGCAGGTCTAGTTCCTTTGAGTCCTCTCTCCTTGTAGATGGCATCTCCTGGCATCTTTACCGCCTCTGTGCGTGTTTGTGTCCTAATCTCTTCCTGTAGGACACCAGTCACTTGGATTGGGACCCATCCTACTAACCTCATTTTAACTCAATCACCTCTTTAAAGGTTATATCTCCACATATAGTCACATTCTGAGGTACTTGGGGTTAGGACTTCAACATATGGATTTTGAGGGGGGACACAACTCAGCCCATAATATTGTTTTCCCCAATTTTTAGAGGCTCAGTCTTCAGGCTGGAGGCGCCCCTGGTCCTAGCAAAACCTTCTAAGACCCCAGAGCAGGGCTAATAGAGGGGCCTCGGGGTTCCCAGGCTCTTGGGGTCTCCTTAGTGAGTTACACACACATTTTTGCTTGTGCGCTCTCTCTCTCTCTCTCTCTCACACACACACACACGCACACATGCGCGCGCACACGCTTGATGAGACACCACCAGGAGCCCTTCTTCAGATTTTTTACACACGTTCATTTCCCAGACCTGTGCAGTTTAAACTTACTACGAAATTCGTCCTAAGGACCTTATAATCCACAAGTCACCTTCCCATCCTTGGAGTCAATACTGCAAGCAGTGTTTAATTTCTTTCTTTCCTTCATATTGCGCTTCAAGGAAGAACAATGTAGCTACCACCCCCTTGCTGGTTTCATAGGGGGTTTTAAAGTGGCCATTCCTGCACAGACTGGCCAACTGAGGGAGGCTGGTTACACAGACTCTCCCAGAACTGCCTCGGGGCTCAGGGGGACGGCAGGAGTGACATGCATTCCTCTCCAGACTGCAAGCTCCCTGGACACTACCAGACTGCCAGATTTTCAAGAATTGGGGGTGAGAGGGGCTTCTTCACTTCCTCCTTTTCCTTCTTTTCTTTTTTTTAAAGCTCCTTCATATAAGTAAGCAGTTGCCTAAATCGGACTTGCCCAAAGTCACCCAGAAATTTTGTGGGCCAGAACCCTAATGCAACCCCTCAGACCTATCACCATGGACATGTCATCTGCTGTGGCAGTTCGCAGTACATTGGCAGTTGTGGTGATAGCTATGACTAGGGAGAGGTTGAGGGGAATGGACTCACTCCTGTCTGCGGTGCCCCTGGACCTGCATCCAGGGAATGTTGTGGCTGGTGGAGGAGATGGCAAGTCCTCTGAACTGAGCAAAGGGCACAGGAATAAGACTTCACAGGAAGAAGCAAGAGCCCCGAGGAGGGTCCCTCACCTCACCTGCAGGCCAAGAGAGCCTCCTGGAGTGGATAATGCTTGAGCTGGTCTTGAAAACTGAGCAGGAGTTGGCCTGAGTGGGTTGAAAGGAAAGAGGGTGCCAGAACAGCTGTGGAGGCTTGAGGTGCGGAAGAATGGAGACCTCCTCAGGGCAATCGGGTGCTAGGGGAGTGCAGGGCTGTGGGGCCTGCAGGAGATGAGAAAGAAGATGAGGAAGAAGACATTCACTGGCAACAGAGGATCAGAGAAAGGGATCAATTAGGAATGACACAGCAGTGTGTGCTTTTAGGAAGGGCACTCGGGTGCCCGGGGATTGTGTGGGACAGAGAGAGGCTGAGTAGGCAGACGAGGGGTAGGAAGCCATCAGAGACATTCAGGCAGAAGGAATAGCGGCAGCTTAGCCAAAGGAATGGCGAGTTGCAAGGTTAAGGAGTTTAGCTGTCAATGTGACCTGACTTGAAGACAGTGAGTGCCGTGCCTGGGTACAGGCATCTCTGTTGGCTGGATTGGGAGACTGAAGGAGGAGTGAATAGAATGGCTTCAGTGGGGGCTCCTGGAGCCTCCTGGTATGTCCAGGGTACCCTCCCCCTGTGGGTCACGGTCAAGGATGAGTTGGGCTAGTAGGCGGGCTCTGCTTTCCCCACAGGCTTCTTGGAGAAGAATCGAGATGTGCTGAGCACAGATATCCTCACTCTGGTCCACTCCTCTCAAAACAAGTTCTTGAAGGAGATCTTTAAGTTGGAGTCAGCAGACACTAAGCTGGGCCATGGAACCATCCTCCGGGGGAAGGCGGGAAGCCAGTTCTTCAAGGTAGGCCCCCATGGTGTTCCTTTCCAGTGTCTCGCAGCCCCTAGGGCCTCTGGGGCCAGACATGCCTGTGCAGGGAAAATTTGTCACCTGGGGTCTGGGTTTCTCATTCTAGGCACAGAGAGAATGAAAATAAGAGTGACACGTTGTTATTGCCACATGGGCAGGGGTGAGGGGACAGGTGCACATGAATGTGCCTGCTTCTGTGTGTGTGGTAATCTTGCCAGGGCACATCTGCTTTTGTTACTATTATGTTTTCATATTGGTCTGTGTGTATGTGTTCTGTGTACTCTCTGTGTGGATGGTATCTATGGTTATGTGTGGGTGTTTTGTTGTGGTATGTGTGGGTCTGTGGTGTGTGTGGATGTGGAGATGGGTATGTGGTATGTGTGGTATGTGTGATAGTGATATACATGTATTATATATGTGTATTTGTAGGGTGTGGGGTGAATGTGTGGTATGTGTGTGGTGTGAGTACGGTACCCATGGAGTGTGTGTGAATGATATGTGAGTGTGGGTGTGTTTTGTGCAGTGTGTGTGTGTGGTATGTCTGGTGTGTGCGTGATGTGGGTGTTATTATATGTGTGTGTTTTGTAGTATGTGGTGTGTGTGTACAAGGTGTGTGTATGTTTGTGTGGTGTGACTGTGGTAGCACTAAATGTTGCTGGCCAGGGGGATGGGCAGCAGAGAGCCCGTGGTGCTCCTTAGGGCAGCCTAGGATTTCCTGGCAGCGTGAGTGTCTGCCCACCCCTTGCCCCCCATCACTCCCTCTCCCATGCCTGCACTCATTAACAGTGATTGTTCTAGAAAAGCCCTGTAAATCCTCTGATGAGGAGCTTCCCTACCTCTACTTCAGGATATGGAGGTAGATGAATGCTAAAGAACTGAGAGACCAGGTAGAAGGCCTTCTCTCTCCCCTTGGGCCACGAATTCAGCACTGGCCACACTGAAGTGCCCTTGACCTTTTATCACTCACTCTCCACTTCTGCAGGAGCTCCTAGGGCCTCCATGCCCAAGACCATGTGCAGCGGGGGCCCTGGGAGGCACCGAGGAGCCCTGAGGATTTTGCGGTGTGTGTGTATATGTGTGTGGTATATGTGCAGGAATTGCCCAGGTCTGGGATCAGGTAGAGCAAGGTTACACCCTCCACTTTCAAGCAGCCAGGCTAGACTCTGGCAGCTAAGGCCAGAGAACAGCCTCCTCCTGGCCCTGCAGGTCTCCAGAACATGTCCTGAATGTCTCAGGAAACAGGATGTGAGTGGAAGGAAATGCACATGATTTTACAAACCAGTGATTGCATTTTTTTGTGTCTCCAGACTGATGCAATCTGGCAGCACATACCTTTGCTCGGGGCATTTGACCTTGGGAAGGTTTGAACATGAAGCATAGCCCAAGATCGGTATTGCACAAAACACATACTGCTCAAGGTCTTGGACTTCTCACCCCCTTGCATCCATAAGTTGATACATTTATTTGAGAATGATATACATTTACTATAATGCAAACAATACAGGGTGAAACATTCATAAAAGCATATAAAACCTATACAAAAACTGAAAATATAGAAAGGAGAGGTAAAAGTGAATCTCGACAGTGCTAACATACTCTTCTCACCCTGGTGCATCGTCTTGTGCATCCCACTTGGGAGATCTCACCTCTAGACAGGAAGCAGTTGCCCCATCTTACTCTCCTCTGAGCCCTCCAGTATCCAGCTGAGGATCTGCAAATGGTTGGAACTTGGGAAATCTGTGTTGGATGAATGTATGAAGCTTGCCCACCTGTGGGACTTTGGCAAAAACTTTCATTGTACTGTGGGTCAGCCATGCCCCGGGCCGTACTCCCCAACCCCTCCACTTGTGCCTTGTGTTTCTGCCTACAGTCTGCAGACTCCGGCAGGCAACCTGCCACCTTAGCAGGCCAGTTCAAGCAGTCCTTGGACCAGCTGATGAAAATCCTGACCAACTGCCAGCCCTACTTTATCCGCTGCTTCAAACCCAATGAGTACAAGAAGCCGCTGGTAATGAGGGGAGGCTGGGGGCTCACATGGACGGGGGGGGGAGGGGAGGCTGTTAGTTGATGAGTCTGATGGCATCTAGGGTCCTGTCACTCCCTTCACCAGGGCCTGGCCAGCATTAGAGCTGTTATCTGCCCCCATTTATAGATGGGACACTGAGGTAAGGTGACCAGTTCAGGTCATTCGCAGGTCAATGACCTGCAGGGCTTGGATCACCCAGACGAAACTTACAGGGAGGTGATATCTCCAGGCGCCAGCCCCAGGAGAAACAAAAGACTCAGTTGTCTCAGTCCTGCCATTTGCCCAGGTGCTCCTCTCTTCCGTAAAGTTAGAATAGCATCTGCCTGTAGTGGGCAGCAAGGATTGTACTTGATACTTCTGGCATATCTGCATATGTAAATGACACTCACCAAGGGGCAACAACCTGTATTATGATTTTAGATGCTGATGTCAATTCCTGGTCGCCCTTGTTAGCGGCTTTATCTGCACTGTGTGGGGTCGGGTGGAAGCCTGCTACCTGCCCACGACCTGCCGAATGTGGGCTTGATAATCTCACCCAACCGCTGCAAGTATAGGACTCCCAAAACTGGGAGAGGCCATCCGAAAGGAGATTGAATGATTCAAAAAATCTTATAAGGGAAAAGTATGTTATATAAAATAAAGTGCCTTTTTGAAAAGAAGAAAATGACATGAAATTGAGGTTGTCCTAGGAAATCCGGAATGTATCATCTTGGTAGGCAGAGTACCCGGATGTTAGATAAGCACTATGCTCCCAGAGGCCCTCCTGCCCCGCCCACACTCCAACCCTTTGGAGCTGCAGGGCAGGTGGGTGGGGCCTGAGACTGGTGCTCAGGTCCTCAGTTTGGTAGATGCTGTTTGGATGTTGGTAAAGCCCAGGCTGAGGGACCAAACAGGCTCGGGTTTGAACCCTAGTTCAGCTACTTAGGAGTGTGGCCCTGAGACTCAGGCACCTCATCTTCAAATTGAAGCTAAGTACCCCAGTATGTAGGGCTGCTGTTAACAGTAAAGGAGAAATACTCAGTAAGTGGGAGCTAGCAGGTTGCCTCAGACTAACAGCTGTGTGGCCGTGGACCCCGTGGGCAGTTGCCTCTGGGACCCTTAGCATTTCTGGTAGGTAACTGCCTGCTGGTGGGCTTGCCAGATTGGAGGGTGTGCCCTTATGCCCAGAAACCCCTGATGGTTGGAAAGCTGAGGGGGCTCTCTAGAGGCCATGCCATGCAGTCTTGGGGTCTCAACTGAGACCCAGCACCCCTGTGCAAAGCATCAAGCCCAGATTGCTCTCTGACGCCACAGCCATCTCCCAGGGCAGGGAGAGACTAAGCTGGCTGGAATATTTCCTGGGTCTGAGTAGGAAAAGTATTTCTTCTTTCCACTTGAGTGTGGGAGGCCCAGTGCTGGGAATGCCACAGGGCCAGAAGGAAGCACTGTTCTTTGGGATCACTGTTTTAGGGCACTTAAAAATATTTCAAACAGGGCACATGCAAATAACTTTTTTATTCACAGTACTTTGCACATCTGGTAAAGGACAGAAGTATTTCGTGGCGTTGTAAATGTCACAGTTTCTGCTACCAACTTTTATCTCCTTGGAAACACTTTCAGAACTTTTCGGCGACTTCGACCAAATTTCTTCAGAAAGGAATTTTAATCACACCGAGCACTTGTTCATTCTCCCGTATTTGGGGGTGGTTGCAGGGTCGGGGAGGGGCGGCCTGCGTCAGCCCTGCCTCTGCGCCCGCAGCTCTTCGACCGCGAGCTGTGCCTGCGGCAGCTGCGCTACTCCGGCATGATGGAGACCGTGCATATCCGCAAGGCGGGCTTCCCCCTCCGCTACACCTTCGAGCAGTTCTCGCTGAGGTTCGGCGTTCTGCTACCCAGCGCCATCCGCCTACAGGTGCGCATTCCCGCCGACCCGACTGCGCGGACCCGGGAGGCGGTGCTGTACGTCTTCGGAACTCCGCCGCCTGCGGGCCCCCCGGTCCCCGCTTCCCCTCTGCAGCGCCGAGAGGTCCCTGCTGCTGCCCTCCTGTTGCCCAGGGCCCCTCCTTGATTCCCATCTCATCTCCTCCCTCATCTGTCACCCCGCGGCGCCCTGGAAGTGAGGGAGAGGCTAGCTCACACTGGGGTCTGGAAGGTCCTGGTGGCCGACTATGTTCCTTCTAGGAGTGTCTGTGATTTGAAGCAAACACTCTTTTATATGGCAGAATGTCCAGAATATGATGTGTAACCAGGGAGCAGGAGGTTCTTCCACAAACAGATCTATCCTCAAGTTTGGGCTGCCCAAGTGTTCAGCAGCCACACCAAGGCCCCAGGCCCTGCAAAGCGTGGTGGCCTCATGGTGCCAGGGCCTGGGAGCTTCCCTGGATCCCACCCTTGATCTGAGGTTCCCTGTGCCTGTGCCCTGTTCCCAGCAGCTCCTGACTATGAAGCCTGTAGGAAGAGGAAGGTTCAGATCCCTGTAGGAAGAGGAAAGTTCAGATCCCTTGATGAGGGACCCTCAGCCTCCTACCTAGGGACCACTACTCTAGCTTTACCCAGCCATTCTTGTTTCTCCTTGGCAGCTTCGGGACAAGTTTCAACAGATGACCCTGTGCATTGCAGAAATGTGGCTGGGGACAAACAAAGACTGGAAAGTGGGAAAGACCAAAATTTTCCTGAAGGTGAGACCCTGAGCATGCATATCCCTAGCCTCCTGAAATGTATGAGCTGGTCTAGTGCCCACTGGGAGGCACTGGCTCACGCATCTTGCTGTGCACCCCAGCCCTGAGGCACCCTGTTGTTGTAGGTAGCTGTGCTGGGGGTAAGGAAGGTAGAGGGAGAATGGGGAGGAGGAAGTCCAGGAGGTGTCTCAGAGCATCCATCTAGGGCAGGGCCTGAGGATAAGGAAGGGCTGCCTCCAAGCCACCTGGCAGAGCAAGAAGGTGCTCAGGGAAGGCTCCCACTATCTCTAGAATAGGCCTTCACCATGCAGGAGCCACAGTCCACAGCAGGGAGCTTTGTCTAAGCCTGGGGAAGGTCTGCATCTGCAGAGCCCCAGAGAGCTGGCACTTCAGTGGAAGGAGGCAGTGCGTTGACCCCCTCACCTATGAGAGCTTGTCTTTAAGCAGGTATGTGCAGGCAGCACCATCACCTACTCTCACTTCCTTCTTACCCAACTTACTGGGAGGCCATAGGGCACACAGAGGCAGCCAGCCGAGTGGCTTAACTGGCTTTCAGGCCCTCCGGGATTGCCAGTTGAAGTAAAGAGCCACTGGGGAGAAAACTTTCCTGTCCCCTATCATCATAAGCCTTGGATGGATGGGCAAATCAAGGAGGAGGAGGAGGAGGAAGAGAAGGTCGGGTCAAGAGGACACTCTGCAGCCACCCCAGCACCATACCACATCCCTGCCGCCCCTTCCTGAGTCCTCCACTCCTCCTCTTCCTACAGAGAGCCCTCCCTCATCTGTCCTCAGAGGGACTTCCTGGCTCCACCCTCTAGCCAGTCCATCCATCCATCTGTCTATGCATTAGTTAGGCCTGTGCTGGGGCTTGGGGCTCAGACATGAAGGAAGAAACAGAGAGCCTTTAGATTCTGTTGGGGAGGTGAAGTTGGCAGAGGGCAGGCATCTGCCCAGGAGAGTGACGCAGCCATCAAGGGCCACAGGCATAAAGAGGGGTATATAGTGTGGGTGGGTGGTCGAGGACAGGGGGAGGAAAGTGCCCACCCCTCCGTCTCTCTTCCTCCATGGCTGCTCTTTGAGGTCTAGTCCATGTCTGTGTCCCTAGTGCCCACCTAGGCACACCAAAAGGCTCAATGCTTGCTGGAGGCAGGAAGGGCCTGCAAGCTTCTGACCTCTTCTCACCAGTTGCCAAAGGCTGTGCTGCTCTCTGTTCTACAAAGACAGTCCTTGCCTTCTGGGGGCTAGGATGGCAGGCCTGGGGCATAGGGATCAGGGGAGCACTGCTGTGGGCCAGCAAAAGTCACACTCAGGGATGAATTTAACAATATGAATCCTACTCAAAGGGTTAGGGGAACATTTTTCTATTGAAACAAGCATGAATGCACAGTTCAAATAAATTTGGGGAAATAATACTTCAGGGAAATTTTTTTGCTACTCTCTTGGGTTCTCCAGAGCAGAAATGAAATTTGCCAGATTGAGTTAATAAGAAGAGCTAAAATTGTGAAGTTCCTGGATTGAGGCTGGGAAGTGTAGCTGCAGCTCCCTTTTCTGAGCCACATCAGGGTCAGTTTGAGGGCCCTAGGCCCCACTTGGCCTCCCAGGGGCACATGTGGGAAAAGTCTGAGAAACCCTGACTTCTGGAGACAGAGCCATGGTTGGTGTATAGGGTGTCCAGGTTTGGGTATAGGGTGAGGAGTGGCAGCTACATGATGAGATTTCTCCTGTCCCAGGATAACCATGACACTCTGCTGGAGGTACAGAGGAGCCAGGCCCTGGAAAAAGCAGCAATTAGCATCCAGAGAGTCCTGCGAGGCTACAAATACAGGTACCACCTACACCCCAAGTCCCTTCCCAGCCTGCACACCTGCCCATCGTGTGCCCTAGGAGGGCCTGCAGCCCCCAAACCAGGAACATATGTTCCCTCTGGTTCCTCCCTATGGGTAACTGTGGCACAAGATCTCTCAGGACCTCCTGACCAGGAACACTGCAGCCTGTGCTGGCCAGAGAATTCTAATACATTATTTGAATGGATTTTTTTGGGGGGGTGGGTGCGGGGAGGGCTTGGGGAATCCACTACATAAGCAAGAGTCAAATAAAGTGTCATCTGTGGTTTCTATTATATTTTGATGTTCTCCTTTAATTGTTTTAGAGAGAATATGGGTTTGGCCTCATGAAGTGGTTGGTTTTGGAGGGAAGAAGATAACTCTCTTTGACTTAGTTCCCTGGTCAGTAAGAAGATAACACTTGAATTTCAGTCCAGGTTCAAAAAATTAGAAATATTAACCACCTCTGTCATGCTAACCAAGTCCACAGTGCTCGTCCCTGCACTATCCCATCCGCTTATCACCAACCATAGGAAGGACTAGAAACCCAGACATGAGAAAATGGAAGAGAGCAGCCAACCCAGGAAAACGGAGGCTATGGGCACCTTTGCATAGGGTCATGAGGCAGGCAGATGTGGCTTGGAAGGCCAGACCATGGTAACACTAATCTCATCAGCAGCCAACATCAGGCAAGCAATTGTCAACCAATGGTCATTGATGGCAATTCAGTAACAACAGAAATCCTCAATTTGGGGCGCAGTGAAGAATCCCCAATTTTTATTCAGTGCAAACAGCTCGATTGCCATACAGTTCACATGAATTTTGTAATAGAGCACGGCTACAGAACAAAACAGTTGTGATACAGCTTAACAGTGTTACAACTCAATTATGAAGCAGCATGGCTGTGGAACAGCACTGCTTTGAGGCAGTCCTCAAGCAAAGTGACCCTGGGACGAAGCCCCTATCTGAATAGACAGCTCTGCTCTGCTCCACCCCACTCTGCTCCATTCTGTTCCAGCAGGACGTCTTTGGTGTTTGAGTTCTAGCCAGGGAAATGCAGGGTGCAGTCTTTGGTGGAAAGAGAGTGTGCTCCCCAGGCCAGAGGTGAGCTGACATATAGAGAGAAATCCCCATCCCTAGTCTCTGCTTGGTCTCTCTTCATATGAATGAGGACTCCATATCCTCACAGTTTGATCCAAAAGCACTGTCCTGATTGGTCAGAACAGAGCTCCTCTGATTGGTTGGTGAAGATGCTAATGAGGAAATAGTTATGTAGCGCCATTGGAAAGGGAAAGTCTCATTCCTATTGGTTGAAATATGATTCCAGGAACTCCTTTATAATGGTGGACTTAGCCAACAGGGACATAGTACAGGCAGGCAGTTCAGTGCAGGCTTTTCTCTGAAGCACAGCTCGCATGAGAGGCCCCAGTTTAGCAATGGCTGCTAGGCTCTGTTTATAAATTTGAGCCCAGTTAGCCACCAGGAGCCCTTCTTGACAGGTGCATTCATTCTCGGGGTCTACACAGTGATGCACAGGTTACCTTCCCAGAATGGTCAGACAGGCAGGGTGGCCACCCTCACTTCTGATGCATTTTTAATTAAACTTTTTTATTTCGAGATATTTGTAGATTCATGTACAGTTGTAAGAAATAACACAGAGATCTCATGTACCCTTCACCCAGTTTCCCCCAGTGGTAACATCTTGAAAAATGATAGCACAATATCACAACCAGAATATTGACATGGATAGGTCAAGACAGAACATTTCTATCATCACAAGGGTTCCTCATGCTGTACTTTTATGGCCACACCTACCTCCTTCCCACCTCACCCCCTTCTTAACCTCTGGCAACCATAGGCATACCTCAGAGATATCGTTGGTTTTATCCAGACCTCCACGATAAAGCACTATATTGCAATAAATTTGAGTCACATTTTTTTTATTTCCCAGTGCATATAAAAGTCATGTTTGCACTATATTGTACAGTATAATAATAATGAAAAAGTTTGAAATACTATGAGAATTACCAAAATGTGACACAGAAACAGAAAGTGAATAGATGCTGTTGGAAAAATTGTGCCAATAGACTTGTTTGATGCAGGTTTGCCACAAACCTTCAATTCATAGAAAACACAATATCTATGAAGCACAATAAAGCAAAACTCAGTGAAATGAGGTAACCTGCACTTATCTGTTCTCCATTTCTGCAATTTTGTCACTTGAAGAATATTATGTAAAAGGGATTATATAGCCCATAGCTTATAGGATTGACTTTTTTTTCAGTCAGCATAATTCTCTGGAGATTCATCCAAGTTGTGGCATGCATCATGTTTTGTTCCTTTTTGTTGCTGAGTAGTATTCCATGGTATGGATGTTCTACGTTTTGTTCTACCATTCACTAGTTGAAGGACATCTGGGCTGTTTCTAGTGTTCAGCTTTTACAAATAAAGTGCTATGAACATTTGTGTACAAGTTTTTGTGTGAACATAAGTTGTCATTTTTCCGGCATAAAGGCCTAGGAATGCAATTGCTAGGTCATATGGTTGTTACATGTTTCATGATTTAAGAAACTGCCAACTGTCTTCCAGAGTGGCTGTATCACTTTACTTTTTCATCAGCAATGTATGAGTTATTCTGTCACTATTTTTTAATTTTAGTTATTCTGATAGGTGGAAATGATATCTCATTGTGGCTTTAATTTGTTTCCCTAAAGACTAATTATGTTGAACATCTTTTCATGTGCTTATTTACCATATGTATACATCTTCTTTGGCAAAATTGTGCATGTCATTTGCCCTTTTTCTAATTAGAGTCTTCACTGAGTTTCAAAAATTCTTATATACATTCTACATACTAGTCCTTTGTTGGATATGTGGTTTGCAAATATCTTCTCCCAGTCTATAGCTTCTCTTTTATCCTCTTAAGAGGGTCCTTCTAGAGAAAAAGTTTTTAGTTTTGATGAATTTCAGTTTATGAAATTTCCCCTTTATGGATCATGCTTTTGATGTCAAGTCTAAGAATTCTTTGCCAGATGATTTCTCCTATGGTTTTTCTAAAAGTTTTGTAGTTTTACATTTTACATTTAGGTCCATGATCCATTTTCTATTTTTTTCCCCACAATTTAAAACCTATGAATTGTTTATTTCTGGAATTTTTTATTTAATATTTTTGGGCCATGGTTGACCACTGGTAACTGAATCTGTGGGAAGCAAAACCCAAATAAGGAGGTATACTACTGTATATTGGTGCTGTAGTATAATAAATGTCAGAATCCCCCCTCTTCTCCCTCCTTCTCAAATACCCCATGGAACATTAGTATAAATGCATAAAACCATTTTCCAGGGCTGGTGGTGATGTTCAGTGACATTTTATGCAGCCCCACGTGGAAAGGAAATCTAGGGCAGCTACATTCAGTTTTTAAAAAAAAAATTAAGTTTATTGGGATGACATTGGTTAATAACATTATATAAGTTTCAAGTGTACAATTCTATAATTCATTATCTGTATATTGCATTGTGTACTGACCACCCAAAGTCTAGTCTCCCTCTGTCACCGTAAATTTGACCCCCCTTTACCCTCTTCAACGTCCCCCTACCCTTCTTTTCCTCTGGTAACCTTCATATTGTTGTCTGTGTCTATGAATTTATTTGTTTTGTTTGTTGCTTTCTGTTTTATATCCCACATATGAGTGAAATCATATTGTTCTTGTACTCTTCCATCTGACTTATTTCACTTAGCATGATACTCTCAAGATCTATCCATGTTGTCACAAATGGCAGTATTTCATCTTTTCTTATAACTGAGTATATATGTGCCACATCTTTATCCAATCATCCATCGAAGGACATTTAGGTTGCTTCCATGTGTTGGCTACCATGTATAATGCTGTAGTGAACATAGAGATACATATATCCTTATGAATAAATCTTTTCAAAATTTTCAGGCAGATACCCACAAGAGGAATTATTGGGTCATGTGGGAGCTCTATTTTTAATTTTTTGAGGATCCTCCTCCATACTATTTGCCATAATGGCTGTACCAATTTACATTCCCATGAGCAGTGTATGAAAGTTTCTTTTTCTACAAATCCTCTCCAACAGTTGTTATTTCTTGTCTTGTTGGTAATTGCCATTCTCACAGTTGTGAGGTGGTATCTCATTGTGGTTTAGATTTGCATTTCCCTTATGCCTACTGAAATTGAGCATTTTTTCATATATCTGTTGTCCATTTGTATGTCTTCTTGGGAAAAGGGTTTGTTCATTTTTTAATAGGACTGTTTGTTGTTGAGTTGTGTGAGTTTTTTATATATTTTGAATATTAGTCCCTTATTGGAGATATTGTTTGCAAATATCTTCTCTCATTTGGTTGCCTTTTGTTTTGTTGATGGTTTCTTTGCTGTGCAGAGAAACAGTTCAGTTTGGTGTAGTTCCATGTATTTATTTTTGTTTTTATTTCCTTTGCTTTTGGGTTCAAGTTCATAAAATCCTTTCTGAGACCAAGGTCCGTAAGTTTAGTACCTATGTTTTCTTCTATATATTTTATTACTTAGGGTATTATATTAATCTTTAATCCATTTTGAGTTAATTTTTGTGTATAACATCAAATAGCAGCTCTCTTTTCTCCTCTGTATGTTTTTGGCTCATTTTTTGAAAATTAGTTGCCCATATACATGTGGGTTTATTTCTGGTCTCAATTCTGTCCCACTGGTCTGTGTGTCTGTTTTTCTGCCAATACTATACTGTTCTGATTATTGTAGCTTTGTAGTATAATTTGAAGTCAGGGAGTGTGATACCCCTGGATTTGTTCTTTTTTATCAGGATTGCTTTAGCTATTCAGTGTCTTTTGCAGTTCCATACAAATTTATGATGTTTTTCTATTTATCTGAAAAATACCATTAGGATTTTGATGGGGATTGCATTAAATCTGTATATTGCTTTAGGTAATATGGCATTTTAACTATGGTGATTCATCCAATCCATGAACACAAAATATTTTTCCATT